GTTCGTGAATTTTGCTTCACCTTTTACACCATTACCCATGGGCGGACTTGCTTCATCAAAGGGCGAGTAAACTAATCCACCCATCTGCACCTGGGAAGAATCTGCCATGTTGTTGAAGATTTCCTTCGGCCAATACCCAACAGGTTCCCTATCATTGTACAACATCCAGTTTGAAGTGAACCGATCCTAAGATGAAATGACAGAAAAGAGAGTTGATGAATTTTCCATTCTTAATGGACAGAGATACAGAAACATGAAGACAACTTGTTTAATTGAATATATAGCTCCCAAATGGAAGAAGGAAAATTCTTTCACATCAAGAAAGAAAAAAAAAAAGAGAGAAAATATTCATGTATGAGCTTCAGACTAAAGGAAGAAAATTTTCCTACCCTGTAAATTGAGAGTGACAAAACACTTTGTGTGTAGATCATGCCAGGGGTTATCCGAGTACTAACTTGGACAAACCCATGACAAACCAGGTTAATACAGCCAGTCTTCTGGTAACCATCCGACTAACAGCAGAAGATTGAATACAAATCAGAATTAATAAATATCAAAAGAGCATGCATGTTAGTGCAAGAAAGTAAAAGAAAGAAACAATTCACGACGACACTACTCACAGTCCAATATGTGAAGAAATGAACCCGGTAGTCCCCCTCCTGTTGAAACTCCACCTATATATATATATATATATATATATATATATATATATATATATATATATATATCAGCCAAAAGCATTCAATTCCATATGCAACATTAGAAAAGACAAAAAAAATTAAAAAAAAAAAAGGCCATTACTTACCTGCCATCCAGCCTGCACGGTGTTAATGTAATTTTTGGGCCCTCTTTCCCCTTTGGTAAGAATGATCTGGCTCGTGCTTGCTTGGTTAATTGAAACACCTGAAAGCTGGAATACTTCCAGGTCTGCGCTTGCGCCATAATATTGTGGTCCCTTTTTAGCTTCAAATACCACTACAGCATGCTGCACATGGAGTTGTTCTAACATAGGTCAGTAACGGATGCATCAAAGCAGTTGTGCTTCGTTGACTACCAGAATGGAATGTGAATATTTTCTTATTATGTGTTCCGAAATCTATATATAATATATATGTTTTCTAAAAACTATTTTGAATTTTAAATAATTGTTTTTACTGCCTCTAATACAATTTTGAAGCTTCTCCTTATTTTCCATTTTTCTATATAATCTCTCTTCTCTATTTCTCTTCTTGTCATCTTTTTTTGCTTATGTTTGTTCTTCTATTTTCTGAAAAGCGACTGAAACAAGTTAGTCTATGAGAAATATAAACCAAATTACAAATTAAACTATTATCAAAGCAATCGATCAAGATGAAATAAATCTTACATGAGTAGCTCCATCGTCGGTAGCGGTTATCTCTGCTTGCTGTAGTTGCATATGTGATTGTATTTGATGTGCATACTTTTTTGCTTTTATTAGATCCTCTTTCGTCGTTCGCTTGATAAGAACCGTTCCTGTAGGACATAGCTGTGGTAACGTTTGATTTATTATTGGTTCCTTGTTTATGTTGCCACCGCGTTTTGGAAACTGTTGCACATACTATGACAACATTAGCATATTTATATTATTCCTAAATAAAGAGGGTACGAAAGATATGCAAGCGGAAAAGAAAAAAAAAGGAAACATGATCTATTTATAATCATAAATGAAGCCAATGCAAATAGTAATTAATTTACTTATGAAAGGGAGATATTCTCATGGAGCTTCAAATGAAAAGCTTTCGGTGAATGTTTCTTTTTACATTAACCATAGCAACAAGAAAATCAAGGTATTACAAGTAATGCATGCATTACAAAAGAAAATTAAAATCGATACCTTTCCGGGATAGGAACATGATACACATTTGTTTCGTAATGTGGGTGGTTCTATGATTACAGGAATTGACAAGTCCCCACCTGATGATGACCGAAGAATATGAAGGCTGATCATAAGGGGCAACCATCAGCTCTGAGTGCATGCAGGTTCCTTGGGGGTTTCTTGATTGTATCTGTTTAGGCAGTGTAAGGACTGGAGGAGTGGGGATTGGTTGAGAGAGGGGCAGGACCTCAACAAGACCAGCTGTGGGCTTTTGAGCACGTTGATTGCATACTGCCATTGGCTGATTTCGAAGGATCGCAATGAATCAACCTTCAATGAAGTTAGGATTACTCCCTTCTCCATTATTTGCAAAGCTCTTGCTTTCATGTCATGCTGCAAATCTATTCTACAATCTGAAGGATGTTTATGATCTTGTCAATTCCTTATAACCTGGTGGACTAAACCCACAAATGGATGGTGTAAATTAAATATAGGGCCGTCTGGTTGGGGGTTATGCATGTATTATTGGAGAAAGGAATAAACAGATTGGAGATTGAATCAGATGCGGATATGATTATCAAGTTTCTCGACAAGGAAGAATCCCCTCCTTGGAATCTGCTGAATGGTCTGAGGCATATTTTGAATCTGATATTAAATTTTTAATAATGTAAATTTTATCATGTTTTTAGGGAGGGTAATAGGAATGCTAATTGGTTAGCACATTTTGCTTTTTCTTGCAAGATATCAAACATTTTCAATAATAATATGGCTAATTTTTGTGCTCCGAGAAACATGGTGTGGGTTGTTATATATCGCTTCAGTGATATATAGCTCTTTGCTTTTTGAAAATAAAAATGATACCTTTCATAGTATATGCGTTACTATACAAACCAATACCAACTGTCAGTACAACTAATTATAAACTTAATACATAAGACTAAATTTTGAAAAAATAGAAAAAGAATTCTCTATGATTCTAGAAAGATCAATATATTTCTACAAATCAGAAAAACATAAATCTTCCAATGACCTTAATTAAAAATCATAAAATGCTAAAGGATGATATTTATGCTAACTTTTACTGTAATATTATTTTTGAAATTTCATTAAACACATATTTGATACAAGATCATCAATTCTAGTGTAAAGGGATAATGAATAACCTCAATAAGCAAGAATAATGAGTAAAGGGATTATATATATTGTTGCAAAGGATGATAATTTACCTGAAGTGTGTGATTTTTAAGCAGAGGATGATCAAAAGCTGGTTGCTTATAGATATCCACGCAATCGTAGGTAATCCCATACTCATCCTATATACAAAAAAATAAAATTTCATCAGTTCCTATTTTTGTATCAAAAATTAAATTACAATTAGAAAGAAGATGCATGCAATCGCCAAAAGGCACATTAACATGCTATCCGAAACCAAAAGCTCATCGTTTGCATCGTTTCTACACAGATTAAAAGCAAGACATGATGAAGGTATACACAGGGATAAGATGAGAACATCTCTTCGGTTACCTTGAAAGATTTCACGTAAGGCTTGTTAAGGGTTTTGAGTTCCCTCTCTAACTCACTATCTTCTTCTTCGGCGAGATCCCAAGTGTTATCTTCTGCTGCTGCTGCTTGACTCCGCAGAAGAAAACATACAGCAAGGAAAAGAACTGACCGTCGTTTCCAATCCATGATTTTAGAGTCTTGAACATATATTTCTGGTTGATATTCCTATTTATACATAATCCTATAACATGTTATAGGAAATATCGAGCTCAAGAGGAAAGAAATATTACAGATATTTCTTTGCATTTTGAACGTACGCGTCTGATTTACAATATATTTTTGAATGAAATTTCACTGAGGGTATGAGATTTTTTCTTATTTTGGAAGAAAATTAAGAAAGTTGACATATTTCAAAATAAATAAAAAACAGTTTTATTTACCTTAATTAGTAAGAAAAAATTATATGTTGATATATGTAGATATATATACCTTAATAAGAAAAAATTATATGTAGATATATATACCTTAATTAGTTTATATTCCCATAAATCTTAATTATTAACTTTATTATAAGTTTCAAGACTATAAAATAATTCATACGAGAATCTTCATGATTTGGATAAAAATTAGGAA